CGCAAATCTGCGTCTAATTTCGCGCGTGCACGCGCGCAAAGTGTAGACTTTTGGAGGAACGGCTCCGGAACGCATAAGTAAGTGGGTGCTACAAGATAATGAGAAGTTTCGCAAAAGCCCGATCCTTTCCGAGAAGCAAATTTGTTGTTTTTTTTTCTTTTCAAACGATTTCGCTCCGAGAAATTCCGCAGCTCAAAATTCGCACGAAAGTGCCGGAGAAGGAACTGTACAAACAAGCTCGAGAGATCATTCTCGGCGCGGAGAGTTGGAAAAGCATTTTTTAGCTTGTGATATCCATCGTGAAAACGACGCCCTTTGAATGGATCGTATAACTGCCTGTTCCCGCGCGCTCGCGGAGAAATTTTTTTTTCGTTTCTTTTTTTTGCGGAGAGCCGGAAATAACCAGCACTTCAACGCGAGACAGGCTTATCAGTAAGGAAAATCGCGTAGTTCTTGGTAGTTACAAATGACCGATGATCATTTGAAAGCTAAAAAATTGTCGTCGCTTGAAGGAGACTTTGGTTCATGTCAAAGATTGAAGGATAACGGCCTGCCAATACGATGTACTGCTATGGTACATCAGAAAGTTTGTATTTTCTTTTTTCGTTAGAAAGATTTTTTTAAAGCGAATCGTACTAAAGCGGAAAATTTATGAAAAAATAAGAAAGAAATATGCAACCGCAATGACAGATCAGCAAATCGAAGAATTGCAATCCTCGATAAACGCAATTATGAACTATTACACGTACCTACGCGTACGACTTTTTAAATCTGTAGAGCAAAAAGAAAACCGCACGCGCGCTCGATCGACGATCTCCCCTTTGCGCATGTAATACGTAAAAAAGGAGCCCCGCGCTTTTGCTTTGTACATACACGTAAAGCGGAGCTTCGATGCAAGAGTGTCCTTGAACTACGCCGACGAAGTGATCTTGATTATGTCTTTCTTTTTCGTCGAGAGTCTTGATCTCATTAGCGCAGCACGACGGATCATGCGAACGTGGGTTGCACTAAGATTTGACGTTCCAATAATTAGTTTTGCTGTACAATGTACGCAACAATACTCTTCTACTTGGCTATATTGATATTTTTATTATACTCGAGAATATAATAGTGTATGTTGCATAATATAGTTTACGCGCTAGGTGGCGTTGGACGACCGTGTGCTAAAGTTATCTAATGAAACGCATGAAAGAAGGTTTATCATTTACGTGAAAGGTCGGTCGAGTAATTGAACCGGAGGTAGGGGAAAAATTCAAGATCAAATGTGCCTTCTCGTTTGCGATGTTAGATTTATGAATTAATTCTCGAGTTAATTTTAAGATCGATCAACGTTTATTCAGGCAGGAAACGTGAACAAAATAACCAAGCTTCTCTCCTGCCAGAGTGCCCTTCCGAACTCGCAGCCATCATCCGCAATTCAATAATAACCCCAACTCTCCGCGGCAAAAGCGTTTCTAATGCTCGCGAACAGCACTCTGGTTTTCCTTACATCTCGTTGGTCGCTCGAAGGGGGCAACGTCTCCTGGTGAACGAGCGGGAGAAGCTTAGAGCTGCTACCGACTCTCCGTTTCGCAAAAGAGAAGAGCAAAACAGAGAGAGAGAGAGAGAGAGAGGATGCTGCTGTTGCCCGGCGCTCGAGGATCTTGAACTCGAGAACCGAGAGCGAGACTAATTTCACCCTCGAGCAAGCTTCTTCTTCTTCTTTTCCTTTATCTATCCCCTCGATCCTTCCCCGTGCTATTACTTGTTGGCCTTCTTCCACGTTTCTTCGCTTGTACATTTCGGATTTTTGCCGGCTGTTGCTTTTCGTGCTCGTCTTGAAATGCTATCGATGGAAAGCAAGCGAGCGCCTTTCTCTCCTTCGACAGCGAGAATCCGTTCTCGCCAAGTGAATGCCCGGATCAATCAGTTTCCCCGATAATCAAAACAAGAGAGCCCGTTGAAAAAGGGACGAGCTCGAAAGAGAGATGAGGAGCAAGTAAGAGAAAGAGAGAGAGAGAGAGAGAGAGAGAGAGCAGCGTGACGCGAGGTGTAATGCAGGACGCTCGTTAGAGATAAAATACAACTTGAGTTACGCTACGCGCGTACACGTGTAAGCACATCGTACAGGTATAAAATATAAAAGCGCTCGAGGCAATGAAACCTCTGGCTTCTTCATTGTATCTTGGAATGTGTCACCCTCTTTGATGTGATGATTAGCGTGGCGAGGCTTACTTCTTCTTGGCTTTTAATTGGGAGCTTCTTGTGCACAGTCGAGTGCAGTTCCGCTTTTTTCTTGGGCTTTGAAGTTGCGGCTTTTGAGGTTTCAGTTGGAGTGCGCTGCAGCGCGAGTGCGCGGTTTTTTTTGCTTTTTTCACTGGGATGAAGATCAAATTGGCGGATTATAACAGGATCTGCTTCATGAGGTCTTTGAAGGTAACCATTTATTCAACTAATTCGACTTTTTATTCGGAGGGTTGCTTTGTGTTTCGAGTGCGCGATGCTTTTTCACGATTATTTCGAGTTGCAAAGGAAATTTGAAGAAAAAGTTACTTGTTATTATAGTCAAAGTTCAGTGACATCCAACATCAACGATGGATGGCTTTATTTACTATTTATACACCGCTACCTTGGAACAGTTTATTCAAAATTGAATGCGGGTTTACAAAAAAAAATTAAAAACCTACTACCAGGATTCACCTGCTGGAATTCTTAGACACAATTACCGAATAACGAAAGAAAGCTCAAATTTCCCTATCGAAAATAATCTCTGCCTGAACACCCGCAAACACAACAGGCCGATCGCACACTCCGACACGTACCTACATATATACAATATACGCAGTAAATGGCATTCCGCCACGATCAGCTGATATATACGGAGCTCGACGCGGCGTTTCGTAACAAGCTGACAGCTCGGCCAAGACAAGACCACGCGACTTTCTACAGCAGCAAGCAGCAGCCGATTTTCTTTCATCTCGCGAGTGTGGCCGCACCGCCGCGCGTGATTGACGTAATTGTGGAGCGATTTGTTCTCTCTTAGCCGCAGAATCATTTCTTTCCTTTTTTCTTTCTCTATTTCAGATTCTTTTGCGCTCGAGTCTCACTGCGCTTTTTCAAATTGAATGGTAAATTGATTCGCGGCATTCCGTTTCATACTGGCTTTTCTTTCCAGACAAATGTTTGAATGATTTTGATCGATTTTCTTATTTTATTCTCGTGATTATCGAACGTCCAAGTGAAGAAAGCTTGCGAAGGATTTGCGGACCCACAGTCGGCACCGAAGATTCTTCACGAAGAATCTGACGTCTCGAAGAAGTTCAATTTTTCTCTGGAAGAGACTGCGGGCACAGCTGCATATATGCGGCGCGGACGCGGCATCAGAAGCGGCTATTTTCTGTGTTTCGAGGTCGCGAGGATGAGCTCGGCCGAACGGCTTTCGAGAGAGTATCCGATCCGCTCTCTTCGGCTTGCGCCGCGCCGCTTTAATATCAAAGGAATGCGCGCGCATGCAGGTGAGAGATTCGGCGCTGCTACGCTTATCGCCGCTCATTTATCGTTGGATTATGCGTTTGCACGGCCAAAGAGAAACTGACTTATTTGAAGCGGAGATTTAGTATGATTGTGCGCGCGCGGGATTTTATTGTTGCACACCGACGCCGACGCCGTTGCGTCTGTTGCCGCTATGGGAGAAAGTGGCTTGTGCGGCGTTGTTTTCTTTCGGTATTTTCGGAATACACGCCCGTTGCTCAAACGGCAAACCCGAAGAGGTCGTACAGCGACCAGCGCGAGCATGAAGATCGAAGCCACGCGAGCTGCTCGGAACTCATCCTCGCGAACCTTTAATGGTCTTTTCTGTCGCCTGGTCCTCCCTCCTTCCTTTGTGCGCGTAGGATATATCGCAACATGCTCATTACGATTCGCGCATGTGTATAAGCACAACGCGCGGACAATGACTCACTATAGACTCGTCGTCGTACATTCGGCGCCTACGCCTTTCGTTAGAAAATCGCGCTTCGTCAGCCTTCGGTTATTACGTTACGCGTTACGAGGGAACGAAGGATAACAAGGGGATGATGTCTCGTGGCAACTGTCGGATAATGATTGCGAGCGGGTTGTTAATTTATGCCTGCATCGTGAATCGTCTAGCGATACGACCTTTTTCTTCTTGGGCGAACAACTTTTCGCAACGAACAGGTCGTTACGAGTGGCACCGAGTTGACTGGGAGTAATAATTGCTATGATAATCGAACGATAATTTGCAATTTCATTACATAGGCAATGGAATAAAAAATAAACGTTCACTCGTTCATTCAACTTTTTCTCCGCGGATGATTGATCAATTACGAGTCTATCGCCATGATACGGCCGAAGTCAGATACGGCAATAACCAATGCATATTTATAAACTGTAAGTTACCCAACAAGCAGACTTCTCTCGCACTTATACATCGATAATCTGCAGCTTTATATCGATCGTATAAAACGCTCAAACTACGTGCACAGCAGGGATACAAACAAAGCTCGCAAGTCGATTAGCATAAAGAGAGATCTGATGAACGGTGTGTGTAGGTTTCATAACAAGATTTTTCCACGTCGGGGGCAGCGTCGTTTTTCCATAAAATCTCGCGGCGTTTTGGAGCGTGAAGGAATTCTTCATAACTCTCTTGATCCTTGTTTTTTTTTTTTTTTTTTTTTTATTTTCGCAACAACGGCATAATAAGTCGCGCGAAAGAGCTGTGCGCCTCCGGTTTTCCTGCGTGAAATTTTATATACTCTGTTAGGTTGAACTGTTTAAATATGGATCTTTGATGACGCGCGCCTGCAGCGCGAGTCACCGTTGGTTCTAATTTGCCGTGCTCTACGCATGTACGCGTCTTTCTGAAAATTGTTGCGGTGCTATGTGACGTAACTTTTGAATAAGCTTTGCGTGAGTTTTTATCTATTACGAGTACGCTGCTTTCGAGATTGGTTCACAGACAACAACAAAAGTACATTAAAACTGAAACAAAATATACTCACGTTAACCATTCGTGCTATTTGTCGAAGTATCACAATCTCACTCTGGAAATTGCCAACACTGTGTTATCGAAGAAAAGCCGGCACTGACGACACTCGGTCAAGCGAGAGAGAGAGAGAGAGAAAGTGCCGTTAAAAATCACTGGCAAAAGCACTGAGAGCACATGGGATAAAACGAAGCTGTACTCGCGTGTGTGCGCGCGCTGCGGAATGTTCATCAGCGCGAGACTGCGATGCTCACGGCGACGACGACCGGCTTGCTTTGCGCGCTCAGCTCCGCGGCCGAACAACGACTGGAGAGCGGTAGCGATATTGTACCTGCGCCTTTGGCGCTCACTCGTGCGCATACCACTTTTCTATATGTGTTTGTGTGCGCGCGTGAGCGCGCGCTCCCGGTCACTTTTATTCGCTGCCCGCTCTGGCTCGTTCTGCATTTATATAGTGTATCGGCGATCGCGACCGATTTACGCGTTCATTGGCGAGTTGCAGTTTGGATGGAGACTCGGTTGGATATTGGTTTCTTTTGCTGGATTTGCAACGTTAGAAGTCTACTTAGATATTTATGCATGAGCTGTTAGGAAAATAGCTTGAACCATAAAGTTATAGACAGGATTTTGCGTTCAAGAAGTGACTTTGTTTTTAATACCAAACACTTTTTTATATTCTTATAAGTCGATGTAAAATCTTTTTTATTCAGATTGAAGAAGAATATTTATTCAGAGGAATATTTAGCGTTGAATAAAATGATAGCTTCGATATTATTAATAAAATTACGTTCTTTATTTTCCGAAGCTACATCATAATATATGACACAAAGAATTTTTGTGTAAAGTAGATCAGTCAAAACAACTTTTTTTTTAACTTCAAAAACGAAATGAAATATATTATTTAGTAATTTTTATAAACAATACAATCTGTCACATCAGTTGTTGTCAAACATAATTATTAAATAAAAGTATGTTACATCAAACTACACATCTCGCAACAAGTAAAGCATAACAGAAATTAAACTAGCGACATTAATCAGAATCTCGTGAATAAGCCCCTGCGGGTTACGACGCACGCACGAACGAATGGTGCTGGAGTACTTAGCATCCGTTCACTCAATCTTTTGTCCAATGAAACGTTACACTGCCCCTTTCTTTTCGTCCGCTCCTCGCTCGTTTATCCTTTTTATTTCACTTTCTTCTTCGGACTCCTTGCTCTTTTTCCCTGCTCACCTGCTTTTATTCACTCTCGTTATCCTCTCGATCCACGTTTCGGTCAATTTCACGCTTCGTCATCTTTCTACCTGATCGTCGTTGTTGCGAAATACTTGCACTTTACGATGGCTCAATTTCCATATTTTTTCACTCACCGTTTGTTTTCGTTATTATTTTATGCACCAAATTAATAAATAATCGATTGGATATCTTTGCATTCGGTTTCCACAACGATTTTCTCACGAGGGAATGAAAAGACAATAAGTAACTTTTCAAGAAAAAAAATGGCTCACCTCAATTTCATTATTCGCTAAATTATGCATCAATCAAACCAATAATAAATCGGAACCCGCTCGTTAGCATTTCAAATAAGCCATCTCCATCGAAATCGGTTGCATCTTACCGAGAATATCCGCAAAAATACATAAAAAAATTTATGTCGGATACAGAATCTTATCTTTTTCTTTACTTGGTCAAGACAATTATAATTATATTAGCGTACGAAAAGGGAAAACGTCCTGATGCAAGACCGAAGAGAAAGAAAAAGATGATGATACCTCAGCATCGCCCAAAGGTAGATAGGTGAAAGCCGAGCGTATTCGCGCTTTTTTTTGCGAAGCGTCAGTCTATAAAACGATAGCTCCGGAAAGTTGTTTCACATAGAACAGTACATATCTTATATGACTTCTTTTCCAAATGTACGAACAATACTTCTGCACGGATCAGGCTTGGCGAATTGGAAAATCAATCGTTATGCACTTTCCCATTTTTTTTAACAAGTGCGCGCGGGAGAGCTATCGCACGTGTACTCTTTACTATACGGGCGATTGAGAAATTGCAATTTTAAAGAAAGTTAGCGTAGCTGTATTTCTTATGAGACGCATCATTCGCTTGATAGTGATAGATATAAGACTAGAAATGTTATTGAATTTATGAATGATATAAATGGCCGAATGATATGAACTTGGTAAACTGCCTTTACTGTCCAATAAGTTTAATGTATTGTCAATACCTCTAATTAATTAATTGAGTGTTTTCTAACTGTATTATATCTTCTTTGTAACGTTATTAGAGCAGTACTTCGAATGACAATAATTTTTTCTTCTTTTCGTATTTGCATATCATATTCTTCAATTAGAATTATGTCTATGTAGATTGACCAGATTTGAAAATTGAATTGAATTGAATAATGTTTTTATTGGCTTATAATTTGAAGATTGAAACGAATCGCCGATCCAAGCTCCATCTTTTGGAGAGGATCACTTACTTGGTTGACAGTATGCGAAAGGTAAAGAAATTTAGAAATCTGCTACGTATATATATTTACTATAATAGTTTATGTAACTATTTTTAAATTTATAATTATTTCTTGTATTCATTATTTAGCCAAACTTAAATTGGATGCTGGATTCGAATTACGGATAGATACTTACGAGTTATATTGTTTTTTTTATTTAATTTTTTTGAGTGATTTATTAGATATTTATATCATCCATTAGTAAAAAGATTTTTTTTAATTTCATCCTCCGACAAATTGACTTACAGTTTTTTTGCGTCAAATATGTGCAATGCATTCTATTTCAATTTATTGTAATTGTGCTATATAAAAATTTATAATTGAAAAAAAGTAAACCACTTATTCTACAAGCAAAAATACAACTTGTCAACGTTCACATTACACCGACTGACACTGATTCTCGCCCGATCACCGAATAATCATTGTTAAACACGATAAGTACTGAGGTGTTTTGCGTATCATTGATATGCATTTTATAATTTTTAATAGATTGATAAAAATACTATTATACTATTAGACCAAGAGATTCATTTATATTATTAAGAGATCTGAAAATATTTCTCTTTTAATATTGAAATAGAACCTTGAGAACACATATAATTTTGAAAATAAATAATTTTGAAGATAAACATAACATAGGCCTCAATTTTATATTTTGATAAACCGGTAATATCACAAGATTTAAAAGTTTGTTTTTTGTATTGTCGTCGAATGCTTCCGAAAAAAATAAGAATCTTAAATAATAGAAGCTATATATTATATTGATATAGGTGTCGTTGAAAGTTTACGATGTTAATTTTTAAAAGCGAATTAGCTTCCCGTTAAAAAAATTAATAAGTTATAAAAATTCAATCAACCGAATCCATGAATAAAGCTAACCAAATGAAGATCAGATATCGAACACTATACAAATTAAAAGACCAAAGTTACAAATAATATTAAGCAACAATTTTTAATAAAACTTTCAATCATATTTTTTTCTATGAATAAAATTTTAATAAAAAACTTCAAAAGGGTAGCAATATATCATCAATGATTGATTTAAAAAAAAATGTATAGTGAAATTTTGAAAATTGTAGTACTACATTACATTTTTTATTTTCAATTATAATGTCTTAATAATTCAATTTCTCGTAATAACGATAAAGATAATTGTTTATTATTTATTACATTTTTGTTTTGGTCAATTCATATAATTTAATAATCGTTTCTATGTACACAATTACTAACCTAGGTGACTTAAAAAAAAATAAAAGTTAAATAACACGCGTAAATTAAGTGCATACAAATAAATTAAAAATCTAAAAAAATCAAATAGTATAGCACAACTCAGAGGCACTAAACTACAAATATCAGTAACATATGATACAATACAGTTTTATAAGAATTATTATAAAAACACTGGTTATGAGCCATTTACTTATTACCATAAGGCGGCAAAAAGCGTCAAAAGCGAGATATTATCTTACAGCTGAAGAGCAATCGTAAGATTAATTAAATATAAATAACTCGCATATTCGCGGGCATATAAACAACGCGCTAATTGTACAAATTTTATACAAGAGGCTCAGATCACATCATATATGTCCTACCACATAACGTCAAAAATCTTGTTTGGGGACCGAATGGAACTTGAGGCAGATTTAACGCTCGAACTATCGGAATGACTGTCACCACTTTCATAATCCGAAGTTGGAGGCGTGACAACGGCTGTCTCTCTGGGACTGTCGGTCGATACGATTTGCCAAGTTTGTGGACGAACATTGGTGAAGAAATCATGGAGCTTGTTGAAGCTGGTCGTCAATACGTCGTCGTTTCTCGCTTGTATCTGAAACGTATGTGAATATCGCGTTTGATAAAAGTAATATATCGATTGGGTACGCGAACGACAGGGAAGGAACGAACTTACTAATTCCGTCCCCGAGTATTCTTCTGCTCGATATTTGATAGGCAGCTGCCACGATGGATTTTCCTCGTAGGTCCACTTGGGTCTGGGACATTCAGGTCTCTCGTCCCAACTGTCGATCCAGTCCTCCGGCAATGGATCTCCGTGGGGGAAGAGGCTGTTCTCGAAGTTCGCCCTTCGAGCAGCTCTAACACGAGCAACAACCGAGATGTCGTTGTTGCTGTGTAAGTACGGTTGCTTATTCTGATGAAAACTCCACCGAGGTACCGTGGGATTCGCGTACCGATGATGATCAGTAGAATGGTACCTTGGTATCGTTCTGTTGCACTGGCCCTGTTTACGGTGACTAGACATTACACTCGCGTGCTTCATGTGGCTGCGATAACGCACGTTATTCCTATCCGTTAGTTTGTCGTCATAGAACGGAGACAAGAGTTTGCCATAATTGGGCTCACAGTTGTACTGACTCGCCATGCTGTCTTAGTTGTCGCGTTAACCACTCAAACAAAACTAGCGTGACCATATGATCGAATTCAGACTGACCTATGCCATGTGTATGACAATGATTTGGAATCGGATTAGGAACGTTGACAGTGCTCCGCATTAGATTATCAGTGAGACAATCGACTTAACTTCGCATACATTATCAGTTATGGATGTAAACGGATTATCCCAAGTAAAGGGTTTAGGAATTAGGTCGTTAGAATTATCTTCATGGGATTAAGGAAAGACATTGAAATTTTAATTATGTATTTGACTTAAAAATTGCTTGCAATATGATTATAGCGATACGTATGTAACATATTGAGTACTCAATTGGCTATAATTAATAACGTAATAACGTAATGTGCAAATGTTAATAGGAATTTTACATTGCTACAATATACTCAGCTCATTACAAAAGTACTTATAAGCACTTGAATATTAACCATTTTGAGTCTTCATTCTTTACATACTAGTGGAATGAGAAAATAATGACAATTATAATAACATGAATTATAATAATCCTATAGTAAATATTTCCTTAAAATAAAATTTTAAAGTAAATAGGATCAATGATGGTTATAATCAAATAATTATTATTAAATAAAATCGTTAGTCGAAATATGTTGTGAATCTTTGTGAATAAAGAAAGTTTACGCTCGGTTATTAAAGAGACATCATTAATTTGTTGGAAAGTATGTCGGAATGGGGTCTATTCAATCTTCATATGAGTAATAAGGGCCACATAGTATAATAGGAGTTCAAAATTTTGGAACCGAGGGGCTGTGTGATTGAAAGTGGTAATGTCGAAGTCAAAATCATTTGAGTCATTCACATTTAAATAGTCTGGTATTGTCAAGTGTAGATATTTGCCTCTGCTGTTCCACGAAATAATTTTTCAAGTTTTTTAATAATTCCGAAAAATGACAAGTCCTTTGAAAAGAATACGATGACGCTGCTGGCTCGATATATCATTTGGCTGACATGAATCAGTTCTAATTCGTAAACCTGACGAAAACGTTGATGTTTTTCAACATTCTATCCAAATATGTAAGATGGATTTTGATGGGCAAATAATGAAGGAAGTAGCCTATTTTCGTTATTGTTGGATATATGGACCATAATGACCAAGTTTACAAGATGAAAACAATATCCGTGAATCTGTGCTTATAAGTGAAGCAAATAACTCGATATACATAAATTATAAATGGTGATCTACAAATTCAGATTTGAAGTATACAAACAGTGATATTTTAAAGAGGAAGATAGATGTTTGATGATCAATTGAATGTCAGCATCGTTTCAGTAAAGTGAAGAAATAAAACGTAGATCAACCGTACGTATTATTTATTATTATTTGAACGTCATATTTGATTTATGCAGATCAATTACTGCAAGAAACTAACACACTTTTAAAAATAGATTTGAGTGTGTACTCTTCTTGCTTTACGTCAACTACTTTCTGTTTAGATATGAGTACAAACTCACACCCAAGATCAATGCTTTTTATAGAGAAAATAAAGTAGAGATATTTTGTCGTTAAAACATGCCGAGCAAAAGTATGTTTCGGAAATTTCATCAACACATTTGCAGTTAATACTAAAATAAACAGGTGTTACTAATGATTGAGACACGGTATAAAATTGTATTAAATTTTACACAGTAACTACGTAACATATTAACTTAAACTTCCGTTTTAAATTAATCAAGTTTTTTACTCCATGCTAGAAAAACCGGTTATAAATGTTTTTCTATAGTCTTGGAAGAGCAATTTTTTTGCGAATTTTTAAAATATTTCGAACGGAGTTCAAGTTAAATACTATTTTTTTTTAACTTTTTCTAATTTACTTCTTACTCATTTTGTAACCACAGTCATATCAAACGTCAAAATATAAATGTGGACTCGAGTATTCATGATATTTGATGCATTGATCAAGTAAATTTAATGTAATTTTTAAATTAACGGATAATTGCAATATTAATTGTTCCACTCATTTCATTAATGATAATAATCAATAAATATAGTAAAACGTCGGCTTTGCACCGGTAAATGATTTTTAATTCTGACACGTACACGCAATATATCACACTGCAAAGGATAGCCGATAGCTACTTGCGTGCTTTGTTGCTTCATAAAGCTCACGACCGCAGGCTGGCAATACTCAAAGGTATGCAGCCGAATCGGCTCGACGATCCTCGGTTTTCCATTGCGACGTCCGTTTCAGATCGTTTATAATTAAAGTAAATCAACCGATTATGTGCGGTCAAAGCCGCGAACTTAAATAAATTACGATTTAGTTAACAAACAAGAGATGTGGTCATAATCGTTTAACCTCATATGTGCTTGTGCAAATCGTATTCAACGTTGATGTAGTTTCTACAAAATCCTTAATGAATATTGATTGTGAATAATTCTCCGAAAAAATAATGGATTTAGATGATAACCTCGAATTAAATTTTTGCACCAGTGAAGCAATTGTTAGTATCGACAATGGCCAAACAGACCACCAAAACAAAGAAGATATGCCACACAGTAACACAAAGCAACATTCTTTGTGGAACCTGTCAAAACTCGACTCTCTCTCGCACGAAAAAACGTCAAATAATGTCGCAATAGAAAATGGTGAGTCTATTGTAAGAAACAATCATAAATTGAAATATTAATGAATCCTCTAGTATTACATTAAAATAAGTTATTGGTTTGTTGTTTTTTGTAAGTATTAGTTTTATAAGCTTATATTTTTATATTTTGCTTAAATCAAAAAAATATTTTTTTATTTAATAATTTTCTGATCATAATGATAATAATTTAACTTTTTAATTAGATTTTTTGTATTATTTTTTTGCATTTGCATTAAAATCATCAATTGAATTTTTTGCATGTTCAAACGAAAGTATGATAATGATGCATAACTATTCCCATTTGTAACATTCTAGATGTGGTATATGACATAAAAACTGGAAAAACATACCCTCTCGTAATGGCACTACCATCTGGATGTACTGATATTGACAATACAGAACTTTATGATGATTTTGATCCAGACAACGCTCTTATTTTCAAAAAGTCACCTACATCAGAACAAGCTTCACATGAATTACAGAATCATGCGAGAGTCAAAAGAAAACATAATGATATCAATGAATCAAATGATAAAATAAATTCGAAAAAGAACAATCAGACTGCTACTGTAAAGTCTATCTTTATTTTTATTTTATGTTTTGAAATTCTTATAATAATTTAATTTCAAGTTATATTCTAGCATTACAGAGTTAATTATAGTTCAGATGAATTATGTGAAGATGAAGCCAAATTTCTAGAGTCAGCGATCGTTGAAGAGTATTGTGAAAATATGAAAAGATTTAAACTAGACACAAACCAAACAGCTGCATGGAGACTTGGACCAGCAAAATATTGGTTTGATCTTCTTGGAGTACCTGAATCAGGAGATGGTTTTGATTATGGGTTTGAATTAGCAGACATAATAGATGAGAATGAATACTCATTCGATGAAGTAGATGAGGATGCTTTTCTTATGGTTTCTCAAATGCATTGGGAAGATAACATTATTTGGGATATTGATGATGTAGCTCAAAAGGTAATTTAAGAAAATAAAAATTGTAATTTTGGAGATAAAATGCATATTTGAATTAAATATCTAAGAATTTATAATTTTTGTTGTTGAAATTAGCAACAAGAGATAACCAACTGTAAGGACTGGGCACCTATGTTAACAAAAAATAATTCAGCGTTTGTTTTAAATTACATTATTATTTAAAAAGGTCAATCTATTATATATGAATTTATAAACATTTCTTGAAACAGGTTTTACCAAGGAAAATCAGAAACCATTGAAACCCAAAATCATAGCATTTTATACTCAAATTTTCCAGTGGAAAACGAAGAGCTAGTGTATGGTTTATGGGAAAGTGAGATTATTTGGGATGCCAAAGCCATGAGAAAAATACTACAGCCTAAGATATTAGAATTTGATCCCAGCGATGAGAACATAATCTTTGCTATTCCAGAAGATTCTGATCCAACTTCATTATCTGAGAATGTTGAAGCTCAATCAAAAGTAAAAAGTATTTATGTCCACACAGAGAATATTAAATCAATATTAAGTCAAACTGGTGTAATTGGTCCTTCAGAAGAAGAGGATACTCTAACAGAAAAACAACTTAACCTGGATCCTTTCAACATTTCAAATGATATGTATGATACATTTTCATTATTTCATGTAATTTTTAAAAATGTTGAAAATGTTTGCTTATTGTAGATACTACATGCCGAAATTAACGGATAAAACTTCGAAACTAGAAGCAAATTGTCAGAAACACATACCACACAGTATTCCTGTTCTACAGTTGCAAGCTTCCCTCATACCCACCTACATGGGACCAAAGCGTCTTCGAACTTTTCACAGGTCTCCACTCAAACGTTATGCCTGTGGTCGTTTAACTCAATCTGAATCACACGCAGTTATACCTTTGACTAAGTATATCAGTAAGAAGGAAAAAGTAAGCCCATTCAGAATTCTCCAACTCTGTGTGAAATCCTTGTTTTTGGCTGCCGAAGTTAATTATTAATAAACATTTCAGCTAAGACAAGAAGCTCTAAAAACTGGCGAGCTATTTTTCATGCGCTCTTTTGCAGATCTCTCAGGCAGAGACGGTAACCTTGTATTGGTAGAATTCTCCGAGGAACATCCTCCACTAATGAATTTTATTGGCATGTGCTCTAAAATCATGAACTACTACCAAGGCAAGCCTGGCAAAGATAATGGTCCACCAAAGTATAAATATGGTGAGACGGCATATCCTCAGAATGGTTTGTTCTTAGGTAATTTGGCACCCGGACAAAGTTTGCAAGCACTTGAAAATAATATGTACCGGACGCCTATTTATGAGCACAAAGTTAATGAAACAGATTTTCTGGTGATTAGGACACGTAATCATTACTATATCAGGTTGATCGACGCTCTATACGTTGCCGGACAACAGTGTCCTCTTTTAGAGGTACCTGCTCCTAACTCAAAAAAAATTGCTGATTTTATGAAAAATTTTCTGCAAGTCTTTGTGTACAAAACTTTTTCTAAGTCGAAGAGTGATCCGCCTAAAATGCATAGAGACGTTCTCAAAAAAGCTTTTCCCACTCTCAAAATGCCTTTTATTAAAAAACACTTGAGTTCTTTTGCTGATTATAATTATAATAAGGGAGGTCAGTAAAGGTGAATAAAGTAGTCAATGTGCTTATTTCATGGTGTACAAATTTTTCTTTTTATTACAGGACCAGACTGTTTTCATTGGGTGCTTAAATCAACCTTTCGTTTGCCTTTGGAAGATGAAATCCGTTCTTTGGTGTCTCCTGAACAATGCTGTGCATATTTTAGTATGGTAGCTGCACAGCAAAGGTTGAAAGATATTGGCTATGGTGACAAATCTGCGTTTGTCTTACAAGACAAGGATATGAATGACGAAGAGATACAGAATAAACTAGACGATGAAGTAAAAGCTGCCCCATGGAATACTACTCGGGCTTATATTGATGCTATGAATGGCAAATGTTACCTTCAGTTAGTTGGACCGGTTGATCCAACTGGTTGCGGAGAGGGTTTCTCGTATGTCAGGGTGCCTAAGTCTGTGTTCAAACAGGTAAACAGGAAAATTTTTTCAATTGTGAAAATTTTAGGCAATTTCTTTATTTTCTTTATTTTTAGAACGATTGGTATTTCTTTCGATTATAAAGTTTCAAGAGTTTTCGTTCATTTATTTTATATTTTGTCAAAATAATGTACACAATTTAATAGAGAAAGAAAAAATTAATTTTAGAGATTTAAAACTAAAAAGCTTATAAAAAGAGTTATTGGAACTGCGAGAAGAGCTATTTAATTTTCAATCTAAATGAAAACAAAAAGTGTTATTATTATTATTATTAAGATATAATTGTTTTTGTAATTCAGTTTATTTAAAACCATTTTTAAAGATCATTTTATCAACTCCCGACCTTTGCAAATGTATGCCTCTTAGGTTTTAGAGAAGAATTTTCTGTTAAACATATGTCTTTGTGAAGAACCAATCAATCAAATACTCTTATTACTCTTTCAAATTTTTTCTGTAGGACGAACAGGAATTGAAATCAAAAAAAATTACCGGCACTGAAGCCGACTTACGCTCTTTATCTGCAAAAGGAGCTGAAACAATACTCCGTAGTTATGGTGTACGAGCAGAAGACCTCAAGAAACTCACAAGATGGGAATTAATTGATGCAGTGCGTACGTTATCAACCATTCGAGAAGATCGCGGCGAGGAAGGTTTCGCAAAGTTTTCACGTAGCAAGCGTTTCTCGATGGCTGGATGTCAGCAAAGATATAAAGAAGAATGCCAACGTATCTTCGATTTGCAGAATCTCAAGTTGTCATCTAGCGAAGTGTTAAGCAGCGACGATGACACTGAATATTTGAGCGAAGATCTCGAAGAAGTCGAAAAGATGGCTGAGAATATTGAGATCTTGCTAGCAAATCAGGGCAAGAGTGATTCACTTCTTGAATTTGAAAGAGAAGAGCGAGAGAGGGAGGAACTGCTGAAAATGTTGGCAGATGGTAATTTGGCAATATATTACATTATTGATATTCATTTAAAATTCAACGACATTTCTTTTATGTGCAATAGATGAATCAGTGAAACAGAAACCTATAGAGTCGAAAAAAAATGAAGCATATGATCTAAATTTCAACCCCCATTCGCCACGATCATTAAAGATTCATCGTACTTTTCGGAACACCGATGGCTCCGAATATATACGTACTGAAATTATTCACAACTCAGCAGTAGTCGATGCATACCTTCAAATTCGTAGCACCAAGGATGCCGCATTCATTAAACAGTACGCTTATGAAGACGAAGAATTAGAGCTCGAGAAGAGGAAAATCAAGACCCAGTTGAAGTATATTAAAAACAGAGAAATGCGCAAAGAAAAACTTCAGAATCAAATAAATGTTCAAACAGCTCATTCACACAGTATAGATTCCATTTCCAATGATGTTATGGACCAGTTGGATGTTAACAAACGGAAGTTGGTTAAGGTTGATGGGACTAAACTTAAATTTTCAATGAAGCTTATCAAGGTGAGTAACAGAATTAATCATGTTTTTATCGGTTAATGATGTTTTATATATTGCCAGGAAATCGAGAATATGAACCCTTGTATGTTAGTGCAGAATACATCAAAGAAAAAATTATCGCAAAAAAAGCACAAGAGTTCGTCCGATAATATACAAACTGTTAACAATAAGCATCGTCAGATACTTGCAGGTACGAATCGTCAGTGTACCGACCCTGTTATTATGCTGTCAACGATTTTCGAAGAGATTATCACTGTAATACGTGGATATAAAGAATTTCAGCCATTTTTTTTTCCTGTCAATACGAAGGTGATTACTTTTCAAATTACGATCTTTTTGATCTTACTTGTAGTTGTTTCAAATATTTTTTGTATTATTCTAGTCTTTATCTGATTATCGTCGCATCATCAGTAAACCAATGGACCTTCAAAAGATCAATGATAACATTCGACAGAGGAAGTACCAAAGTCGTGTGGAGTTTCTTAGTGACATTGTCCAAATCAAAGAGAACTGTGTTCGGTACAACGGACCTATAAATCCTTTGACTGATTCGGCCCAAAGAATGCTTAACATATGCGTAGAACTTATGTCTAAAAAAGAAGATAAGATCATAAAACTCGAAAATGCTATCAAACCATTGCTGGACAATAATGATCAAGAAGCGTTTTCTGACATCGTGAGTGGAATTATCAAGGAAATTAAGGCTATGCCACAAGCTGTACCCTTTTTAAAGCCTGTCAACAAGAATCTCGTCGGCTCTAAGGATTATTATCATATCGTGAAAAATCCAATGGATCTGGACACTATATCGAAAAAAATTGCCAGTGAGTGATTATTTAGCCATGTAAAAATTTAGGTGTTTTAAAAAACTGAATAATTTACTTCATTTTTAAAGTGCACAAATATCGAAGGCGCGCAGAAATCTTGAAAGATTTTCAGTTGATTTACGACAATTGTGTATTGTATAATGGTCAAAACTCACTGATGAAAACTAAAGCAGAAATATTACTGAAGACAATTGAAAACCATTTTGAGAATGTACGTATTAGACGTTCAACATCGAAATATTTTAGTTTTTATACAAAAAACTATTTTTTTTTCCAGTTATCGCATCAAATACTGCACCTTGAAAGTAGTATTGCATCTGTACAAGAAAAAGCCATGAGGCAGGCTAACATTGATACTTCATGGCAATATGAAGATGATCGCGTTGATATTGGATCTAAATTTGGCCTTGTAAGGGTTGAAAAGTATTATTATTTGAAAAGGTCTTTTTAAGTATATTGAATGTTGCAATTATTTTTCAGAACAATCCAATAGATCTCTCTGAAAATGAATTTGAAGAATTACCTATGGATACTCACTGCATTAAGCATAATGTAAGTACTAGTTTTGCTATTAAATCTGAGGCCATTGAGGTAAATATTGGTAAAATTCATTGTTTAATTTTTCTTTGTAAAAATATGTAATGATGTGTATTTATTCCAGACAAATTCACTGTATCTCTCTGAAGATGATTCTGATGACTCGAGCACAAATATAAATTATATTCAAAGAAATGATCAATCAACTGGGTCACCTACAATTTACAAAAGCAGTATACTTGAAGAAGGTACATTTTTTAGTCATTTTTTCAAATAATAAATAGTCAGAATAAGAATAACAAAAATCCAATACATAGTTTTTCATTAGACATTCAAATATTTTGTTATCGTTAATGATATTTTTATTCTGAATAAGTAAATTCAATAAATAAGTTGATAATTTGTACATATGTTTAATATTATGTTATTACAGATTTGCAGTTTTCAAGCGACGACGATGTTTAGATAGAGTATTTTTTATTGGGATCTTATTTGAAATCAATGTTACGAAATCGATAGAAATAAGAAGAAAATAATTTACATGTATGTTTGACATTTGTATGTATTTATACGGTGAGTTTTTTTTAAAGTTTTTGTATGTAAAGTATATGTATAGACTTGTTTTCTGTTTTTTTTGTCATAATTTTCTTTTTGTATAAAAAATTTGCATGGTATCATATAAAATAAAATAAACAACGCCACTACTGACCATTTTAATTCTTAATATAATGACTAGAATATTCTATTTTTAATATTTTTATGAACAATTTTATTAAAAAATAATTTTTATTAAGTTATAATTATTGTATCCAACTCTAGTGAACTATTATTTCTAACGATTGCTTGAAAATGTATAGATTATTTTTTTGAAAACATTAGATATTTTATGAAATATATAGTTGTGTAGTAAAAAATTGAAAGATGAAATTTATTTTAATAGTCATAAATTCACTGAATATTTTGGCAGTATTTTAAAATATAATTCACGATTTCATGCAATTTTAATACACCTTCACATGAATGGAACTGTAGACGTCGAAATCATTTCAATTTTCAGTAGCAGCTCAAACTGTAATTAATTTTCTTTTTGGTGTCGTGAGTATTTATGCCAGTATTGAGCTAGTATACTTAAAAATATATGTAGTAAAGGCTTTTCATTTTCTTTATTCAATCTTGAACTTCTATTATTCAAATATTTTTAATGAATAATACGTGCTTGTTCAATAAGTGAAAATATATTGTATCATAACATGTCGTATACTAACTAATATTCATATTTATTAAACAATAAAGTTTCTTTATTTTTTATACATCAGTTACGTAGTATTCATAACTGAGTCGGCTTTTCCTTCATATAAAATTAATTTATTAAAATTAATCTGAAATATATTTTTCAAAATGCGGAGGAGAAAATTAACCATTTAAAGACGGTAAGTATATCTTATATCTTTAAGTTTTAGGTGTTGTGTTTACTAGTGTATTTTTCCTTCAATTTTATCAGTAAAAGAATTCTTTGTCGATAAAATTGCACTCGGATATAAATAAAAATCGATAGAAATCTGTCATATTATGTATGCGAATATTGGCCTTTAAGGTTTTCTAAATAAATTTATAACTAAATTTAAAACATTGCAACAACGTCTCACAAGGAATCATTCGTGTTAATAATATAAGTTAATGAATATTAACTTATATTCTTTCCACGAATAGTTATAGTTTTATGTATTCATATTTATTATTATTATGCTAACTCGTAATTTGGCAGTTGTATGAAGTGCTGCTTTGAATTTTGTATGGAGCACATAATACACCGAAATAAATATTAAGGAGTAAAAACAATTATTCTCAAGTTATTTTATAGAAAATTTATTTTATCACAAGCTTTAAAATAATAAGAATCTTGAAAGCTTTTTACGAGCTTCCAAAACGTGGATGTTTATGTACATAAGTATACAATTAGTTGTATATTAAATATAATTGCTTATTGCTATCGTAGTTCTAGTTTCTAAAAAAAATGTTTCTTCTTATTCTAGATGCTAAAAAAACTGAAAGAAGTTTTCGAAAAATATAATCTTTCGTATCTTTGGAATCAAAAGCACAATCTCTTGAAAAACATTAATCTTTGTGAAATTCAAACATATAATGGTCGTTTAGCTAGAATTATAGCTTCTATTGAATGTAAAATTGAAACTGATCCTTTCATTCTTGCAGAAGTAGCTTATGAGTATTGTTATCCAATTTGGTCAATTTTTTATATATAAATGATTCCATTAATAACTTATCCTACTTGTATTTTAGTGGGTTCATTAGAAGCGGACGATCTGAGAAGGGGGAGTATATATGATAAAAATATTATTGTATTATTAAATAAGTTATAGAATATAACATTATTTGTATAGTTATTATTGATTAGAGAATATTTTAAAGAAAAATAGTTCTATATTTTATGCGACCGACATCCAATTTTAAGCATTTTACATTTTATGTCTTTAAAACGGCTTATCTAATATCACATAGTCAAAACAACTACTACTCAAACTGAAGCCAACTGATCTTCAAATTTTTTAATAAATGTGTATAGCGAGCACATGGTAAAATGAGTATTTTTGAGATTGTTTGTTTAATGCCCCGGTCGCACATGCATATACGCTTCCATACAAAGCGCATGATTCCTGTGGAATCACTGTAAGTTTGAGATTATAGTGACTAATGATAAAATGATGGCAAAGGCTGATCAAATAAAGTAACTATGTCTCAGAATTAACTGAATTATCGATTGTGTTCATTGAAAAAGTTCATAGCTAAAAATTCTACTTAATAAACGACAGTTCTCTTATAGACGTGACATCACGCTCCTTATACGGTAATGAATTTGATCATACTTAAACGTACATGTGAAATAGCGTCTTAGTCTAGGTAGCGTTTTTCCTCATTTTCGGAAGTATGTTGGAATGTCATTGCCTAATAAGGAAAAAATCAGACTGGACCATCTGAATCGAAAGATTCAGCTTGACGTAGCTTAGGTGTCTGCTATACGAGTTTGCTTGAGCTTATTGATCCGGATGTTTAATCTATGTTACATTTTGAGAATATATATATATTTTTTTATCACATTGTTATCACACACTATTTCATATGTTATATAAAAATATTCGCATCAAATTACGCCAATTCGTGTAGGCCAATTAAATGTGAAAATGCCCATCTTCCACCAACCAATCAAAACATTATTATAGGCTTCACTTTTCAAGATTCTTTTTGGTAATGAAGGAACTGTGACTATTGCATTAAATTCACACAAGTTCCTATAAGAAATACATGGGTCTTGAATTTGGTGAAAAAAAAAGTCTTCAAAAATTTAGTCCACAGGTCTTACTAGGGGTAATTTCGAAGATATCAAATTTTGAACTTCAGTTCATCTTATCAACATAAAATTATAGGGTTGATTTATTCATATCCGATCATCAAGGTGCTAAAAATGAAAATGTAAAAATAAAAATATGTTTGTGAAAATTGTACTTACCCTAACGATGGAGAGAAAGACTTTGAGTAATTAATCTAAGGTTAAATAAAGCTGCATCATTAGTTTCCGTTACCGATTAATAATGCCATAATGAACATCTCTAATTTTGTCGTTATGTTGTCATAATTAGCAGTCTTGAAAACATGTGTTGACTCAATGGCCGTGACGTATCGCAAGCTTTTTGACCTATGTTAATATATTGTACTCTCAATTTCCTCCAATATCACAGTGTTATCTAATAATATTTTAGCGTATGATTTGATAGTTCAGTTGCTTTGTTGTTTGCAACAAATATATAGTGCGACGGATGAACACTTGAATTTATATTATTACGCGATAATTAAAACTTGTAAGAACTCTGAAGTTATTCCTTATAAAAACAGAGGGTTGGGTTCTACACTTTTCTTTTCGATGTGTCGTAAAAAATATCGTTGCAATTGTTTTCAATAATGAATTTAATAAAAGGCTTGAAATTAATGGGTATAGTATACGTGGTGTGGCCATTAAGCAGTGATTCAACCAGTTTATTTAAGAGAATCATTTATCTATCTGTGTGGTGGTTTCACTTTATTAACTACATCATAGGCATTTTGTTTACGTTGAATACGTGCTACAAAGGCCGTAAAGACATCAACTTAGTCACGTTTTCTTCCATGGAAGTTCTGGCTTTTATCGAATCTTTGACTGTTCTAATTATTTACAAGTACTACGTAAATCTTTTGAAGGTTTGTACATTGTTTTATTTTCTTTGTAAGAAATTGTCATTTGAAATTGTCATCAGAAATGATCAACGTGAAGATCTAAACAATAACTATTTTATTGCCGACCAAGGAATTCCTTTTCTTATTATTGATTACGTATATCTTTCTATTTTTTTACGAAGAATTGTTATATTAATGTAAAATTTCATATTTTTAGAGATTATTAATTCAAATTGAAGAGTACATGAAATCAGCTGGCCTCGATCGAAAATTTTATTTGAAAGAAAGAGGAGCAGTATTCGCTGTAATGATGGTTCTTATAATGCAATTGTACGGCATTATAATTGTGTTGTACATCACTAATCCCGTTGAAACCAAATGGGAAACATTTTTAACAACAGCGTATTATCCCCCGTCTATCAGAACGCCAGTAATCGATGCACTTCTTTTGACTCATCAACTCGCTGCTATGCTTCACTCCAGCGTTATGATAGTATTTGACATAATAGTTGTTACATTGATTTATGGGTGTACGGTGCGTCTAAAAGTTCTTGCGAAGCAATTTGGCAAAGCCGATCGTTATGAAGAATTACTTCATTGCGTACGCCAACATCAAGAAATATTAATGTAATCGATGCACTTTCATTTTAAATAATTTAATATTTACAAAATAGATATATTGATTCATTCGTTTACAGCTTAGCAAGCGACACAATCAAAGTTGTACGATTCGTAATAATGAAGACCGTTTCATGCTTCGTTTGTTACACAGTTGGTGCAGGTTTGCAAATAGTGAACGTAAGTATTTATAATTTAAATTGATACGCATTCAAATGAAGACGCAACATACAATTTTAAGCCAAAAGCTACAACCGTGTCTCTTGAAAGATTTGGAGTAGTGTTACTCATAAATAGCGTACGCCTTATTATGATCGCATTGAGTGCCGATGATTTATCCGTGGCTGTGGGTACTATTTTGTAAAATCAAATAATTACTAAACTTTATTCTCATTAATTCACTCTAATTTTAGAGCAAAGAAATTGGATCATCTGTATATTCAACGATTTGGTACAATGACGATAAAGACATGGTGATTGCTAAGAAACTAATAATGTTACGATGTCAGAGTATTGTAAAAGTGAGCGTAGCGGGATTGATAACTGCTCTCAGTCTCTCTTATACGACTGGAGTAAGATACATTTGTTATTTTTATTTTTAAAAAGGACTCAACCTAATGTATTTAACAATTTTTAGATAATATCATCAGCAGTGTCTTACTTCACTACGCTCAGAGCTATTACGGGATCGTAACAACAAAAAATGTAATTTTGACTTTATATTTATTTTACAATTTATTATGATGACATTTAAATTAAGCATAAACATAATAAATAGAGATAGAAGACATAAAATAGGTCGAAAAGGATGTGAATAATAAGTGAAGAGATTGAATTTTTGTAGAAAAATTATATAAGTTTTATTATTGTAATCCTTTTGTAATGTAGAATTTTGTAAAAATTCTAGAAAATTTCAAGTGACGTTACATCTTAACTTTATGTGATAACAATTCTCAAATTTACTTTTTACTTTTGCCTCCAAATTTTTCAATTCCGGATCACACAATTATTCATAAAATAATTATATTAATTTCAGATTTCACAATATTAACGTACGTATAAGACGTAAATATTACAGCTGTTCGCATTTTAGCTATCAAAATGAATTGTATATCTATATTATATATATAGATATGCAATTAAAGTAAAGCCGTCAAGAAACACGTTAGAAATAATTAAATTTATTCTTAAAAAGTCACAGCACCAAAGGAACATTTTTCAATTGTAAATTATCGAAACAAATTGGCTTACTATATTTAAATCACATGCTTATAGCAAATATTGCTCAAAAGCAAATATTATCAAAAATTTAATACGAAACATGCAGTCAGCTTGTAACTGGAAAAATGTCTTTTTTGAATGTTTAAATATTTTGATAAAATTGTAACTTTTTATACAAGTTATTTAAATATTTTTTTAATTTTATTTTAATCTCAAAAACTATCAATCTAAAGTTCCTTTAGATAAATAAATATAAAACTTTAATAAAATATATTTATGTGTGCTAAAAGTATAGTTCTAGACTAGTTAGCCTCATTCAAAAATCACTGTATTCATTATAATCCTTAGTCAAATATATTTTTACTTTTAGTTTCTGTATAATTTGTAAGATTTTTATATCATCGTTGAACTGTAATATTAATATTAAAGTATATAAAAATCGGTCCGATATCATCAAATTTCGAAATTAAATAAAAAATTATAGATAGAAAAATCATAGATAGAAAATAACGACGTGAAAAATAAAATTTAATACTTAAGTTAAGCAGTTATAGTAAATCCTAATTATTTATCAGACACTATCCATGTGTTATAAGTGAAAGTAAAGCAATTTACTTTTTTTTTAAATGATTAAGTGAAATTGCATTCATGTCAGCCCAATCTGCAAAACTAGGACCAATTTGACAAACGCAACGTAACATAGTTATGCAGTCAGCTTCAGCACAGTGTAGATTTTCAGCTTCACATCCAATCATGTGAAAGTACACTGTGGATAATTTGAAATTTTTTGGCTTGCTATTGTCAAACTCTATTTGTTTTTTCACACTAAATGCCTGTGAAATTTTACGAGGATTACTAGATATTCTTGTTCGTGTTGTCTTAATTATTTGATTTTCTGGTGTCTTTTCATTGATTGCTTGCAAAGATTTGTTTGGACTATTTTTTGGTGTAATAGAATCAGACGAAGTGGAAGTTGTTTGTCCATTCTTATCTGATATCGTATAATCCATAACATCCTTACTATTTTCATTGGCTTGTACTTTGTCAAAATCATCAACAATTGCACATAAAGCGTTATTCCACTGATCATCTAAAGAACTATCAGATACATGACTCTTCAATTCAACAAGTTCTTCTTCATCTACTTCATCATAGCCCTGTGGAAAACTTTGAACAAGTGAAGGGGATGACACTGGTGTGTCGCTAAAGAATTCATGGAATGCTGGTAATGTGTCTACACATAAAATCCTATCAGGAAATGTCTGGAAGATTATTACAAGAGATTAATTTTAAGTTTAGCAGTATACTATAAACTATTTATCATAGGAGCTAATTTTGTAAGTGTTACTGATTTATAAAAACACGATAAGAAATTTGATTTAAAACTAATTATTTCATCTATGAATGATAAAATAAAACTTATAAATGAATATTAAATATTATAATCATTATGGTAATATATTTTTAATATAGTCCATAAATGTTACAATTACCTTTTTGATTCCATCAAGCTCCGATAAAAATATTGGATAGTCAAAATGATTGCCATTGTGAGCAACAAAACAAATAATGCCAGGTAACCTATTGATGAATTGAATAATTATGTCATAAGTGGCTTCATCGAATGGTCTCATTTGGTCAAGAAGGTTATTCCATAGATCTAGAAAAAAAATTCCCTTAATATTTTCTGTCACTTTTTTTAGAAAAGAATTATACTTACTGGAAGCAAATGAAGCCTGTGGATCAATTGTTTGCATAGGACAAATAGGTATTGTTAATTTATGCATGATTCTCGGAAGTGCCAATTTGTTTCTCTTGTCACACCTAATGGAATTTCTTGATGTAGCTACCATTGACAATTCTGTGATTTTTGGCATCTTTGTCCCCTTAATCAAACCTGTTGTCTCCAGATCAAAAAACACAAAGGTCTCGATTGGGTGATACAATTCTTCTCCGATGCACGTCATTTTCAGTTTATTTATATTGTTCGTCACTCTCTTGAAAATTTTACAAAGTGATCCTTTGTAATTCTACGATAAAATAAAGGTTGTACAATTGTTGTTTATTTGACGTCACTTAATTGACGCGCGCATACCGAGTAAAATATAATAAATTTCTCACTGTACATTTGCCAATATGTACATCAGTAACTGATCGTTAGTGACGTGCGATGCAAATATAACTTAATATCGACTTCTGTAAAAGCAATTAATCACACCAGAGATTAGTAGGCTCTTACTATCCCTACTATCCCTGGTCGCACACTCACACAGTAGCAGATAGGATTCCATTACGTTTTGTGGACACGTAAGACCGAGGCGGCCCGTTGCGCGGGACGGTCAAATGCTCCAATACGGAAAAGCAGGAAATGAATAGAAGGCAGTGCTTGATGAACTTGACAAATTTTATTTCCCGTGAACAGAAAAAGAGAAATGAGCGCGTATACAAAATTAACACCATGTGGCAAAACTTTCCGAGCACGATAGTCGGAGAACATTCCGGAGTCGGTGGCACCCAGCAGGCGAGAGGAAGCAAGAGAGCCGGTTCCGCTTTTTGTGAAAAGATTCTGAGCTACTCCCTCTTGCCGCAGAAGGTGACGTCAAAGGTCGCTAGCGAGCATCAGCGTTCAAGCGAGAAGTTGGCTCGTCTCTTGCCGTCGTTATCGCCCGAGTGGTGTCAGCACCGATCTTGTGCTGGACGTCACACGTTTGCTATTTGAAACAACTGTTCTCCGCAATGGAATGTAGTATAAGTTAAAAGACGCCCACTAAGAAAAACAAATAAATTACGTAAATAAAAGCTATCGCCATTTTAATTTCAGGTGCATTTACTATGTCACTAGTTTAACATTTTTTAATTATAATATTAATAATATACTGTACGTAGACAATTTTAATAAACTCGAAAGTGCTTTTTATTTCATAAATACCATTCACGTGATGTAATTAAGGTTAATTTGTGAAAATAAAAAGCCTGTTTAGCAGGTGAGCAAATTGCGCGCGAAAACGGCTTTGCACGTAAAAATTTACTTTTCCTACGCGAATATGCGGAATTTTCGCTTGCGAAAAAAATTTCCCGACAGGCTTCGTCCATGAAATTGTTTCTCTTAAAACTTTTTCGCATGCGGCAATTAACACTTTTGTTTTATAACAATATTTTTAGTTTCCGTACGCGAAAAATGAGGAAAAAAGATACGCGTGTGAAAAGTGTTGTTGGCCGTTTTCTAAAATTCTTAATTTTTATTTTTGACGAGAAGATAATATTGCAATGACTTCAAGTTGATGAGATTATAATTTATAAATTATATCTGTGCTAACACCATGGTCATAGTTAGCAAACTTTGTAAAATCTGACATCGTTCCTATCGTTCCCGTCCTGTGTGACCTCGTCACAGAGCCGTTGTACAGACCTTTCTTAATTTAAGATATTGCATATGGGTACGTACACAATAACGCGCAACACTTTGCACGCATGAATTTCTTTTTCTTCGGTTTTCGCGCGCGAAGATTAAAAGTATTGTTACAGAAAAAAAGTGATAATTTTTGCACGCGAAGATGTGACAAGAAAAGCAACGACATCGCGCACAAAGCCTGTCGGAAAATTTTTTTTCGCGTGTGAAATAAATTTCCTATCTTTCGTAGTCGTGGAGTCGGGGTCGCACATCCGTGGAGAAGTGAATTTACGCGTGCGATTTGCACAGCTGCTAAACAGTCTCTAAAATAAATTTGCAATTGCAGAGATTATCTTTGGCAATAGAGCAGCGTTATGTAAGAATTTATAAATTGCAAGAGACTGAAGTGCATGAAATTAAAAATTAATTCTACAAAAAAATATATTTTTATAATTTTTTGACGATGTGCTGCTTCAATAATTTTACTTATATTAGTCATTATTAGTTATATTTATAACCACAGGACTTATATATGAAGGGTAATGTAAGTTAATGTTTATTTACCTATACGACATATTTTTCGAACAAAAATTATATAAACAGTAACAGATAATTAAAATTATGATGTGTATGTCACAATCAACCGCATTGTCAAAGTCCCTCCCCTCTCCCGTTTATAGTCTCCATGCCCACTACATTGCGTATGTGCAAACCGTACATGTCAAATTGTTAGGTTATATTAATTTATAATATTATTATATGTTTATTAGTTGTTTTGTAAAATGGAAAGGGAATTCAGCGAAACTGATCAAATTAGCCCGGAATATATTACTAAACGAGTTAACAAATTATTAGAAACTAGACCAGAAAATGATAAGGTAATGTATTGGATATATCATAACATAAATAAATCTTTAGAATTAACGCTCTGATATAGCAATCGGCATACTTGCTTTATCAAATGTTTCAATCTTTAACGACAGATTTCAGAATATATTTTCTATTTTAGGATACTATTGAGGCACTTAAAGAACTATCAACATTCTTCACTGAAAATACAGCAGAAGAAAGACACAACTTGAAAAGTAAAATAGAAAAAAGAAATGCAGCTATCAATGATGAATTCTCATCTGCCTTTAGAGAAGTAAAAAGTGTATTAGAAAGTATACAAAAAGATGTAAATGGTATAAGTGGATATGTCGAAAGTATGACAAGTAAAATGAAAACTACTAAAGCTGAAACAGCATACCTTATTGAACAAACAAGAAAGTTACAAGCTGAAAGGTAAAATTATCTGTCAGTATTCTTTTCAAATTCCTTAAGTTATAATCCAGTTGTAATAATTACATTATTTTCATAGTGACAAAATTTCTATGCAACAAGAAATTGTTGCTGCCTTTATAAAAAAGTTTCAATTGAACTCTGATGAATTAGCTATTCTACATGGTAGTACTAGAGATGCACCAATATCTGAAGAGTTTTTTACAGTTATAAACAAGGTGCAGGTATGAAATATAAATTTTAATTTTATTTTTAGAAATATGCATTAATAATCAATCAGAAAATTTTACACCTATACTATTATTAATAGGACATACACAGCAATTGTAGAATTTTAATGCAATCTGGTCACCAAACTTTGGCTTTAGACATTATGCAACAGATGACATTGCTTCAAGAAGCAGGGCTTGAGAGACTATATCGTTGGACACAAACTCAATGTCGACACATTGAAAATGAGCAACTGATTACTTTACTTTTTAAAGCTATGAGCAAACTACAAGAAAGACCAGTTTTATTTAAATATATTCTTGATGAATATTGTACAGCTCGTAGATCAATTTTAGTAAGTTCATTTATAGATGCTCTTACATTAGGAAAAGGTCAAGGCAGTGTTGCAAATCCAATAGAAATGCATGCCAATGATCCAAAGCGCTATATTGGTGATATTCTAGCTTGGCTGCATCAAGCTATTCCAGTAGAAAAAGAGAATCTGCTTATTCTTTTGAAAGCTTGTGATATGACATCTATGTCTGATCAGATCACAGAAGCTTTGAGTAACATTACAGAAGGTCTATGTCATCCCCTCAAATCCAGGATTGAACATGTTGTTGCAGTTGAGGGACCTTCTACAGTTTTATATACTGTTACTACCCTTATTAGATATTATAAAACTATTCTTAAACCTGTCATACATGACAGTGTACTTGATTCTATGTTTGGTGATTTGTTAGAGTTAAGTGAGAAAAGTTTTGTTAGCAGGCTGCAAAGAGAAACTAGGTTGGCACTTGGGGAAAGAGCTGAACCACCAGGTACAGACTTGGTACCTGCACCTTCAGTTTCAAGATTGCTTTCTCTTCTTAATGAAGTTTTATCAGTGGCAAGTATAGCAGAGGATAGAGAAAAAGATATACTCTTGGTAAGAGCTATCCATTACTCATTGTTAAAAATCTAATCAGTAATAATTTGTGTTTTATTCTTTTCTAGATTGTCTCATGTATTATTGATCCTCTATTGCAAGAAGTAAATGAAACTGCTTCGCGACTTCCAACTGTAGACATGGCTGTATATTTGTTAAATTGTATGCACCAAATTCATTCCACTTTGGCTTTGTATGAATACATGGATCAGAGACTTGAGAGGCTGCAGGTAAGCATTAAATTAGTGGTAATTAGCGAGAATAATACATTTCATAACTATTGATCATTTATATTTCAGGCTCAATCAGATGCTCAAATTGACACGCTAACTTCAGAACAAGCTAGTTCTTTGGTTGCGCATTTGAATTTGGGACCGATATATAATATTTTACAGGGTCGTGATCAAGGACCTTTATCTTCAATCGCAGGAATGGATCCACTCAGCATTAAGGAATTTACAGTAAGAAATATTTGAATTGCTATGTACCAAATTTAATAAAAGCAAATAATCGAATAATTGATAGCAAAATTTTTCTCATAATCTTTTCTCTTTTTAGAATAAACTGGAAGCATTCTTGGTCATGCCAGACGTATTGTTATTGCCACAAATTTCTTTACTCCAGAGTAGCATTCACCGTAGTAATACACAGAGGCGAGCGTTCGAACTTATTGGTGCAATTTACAAGCAACTGTATGAGGCTTGTCATGATCCTAAAAATCTTTATCAGAATCCTAACAGTCTTTTTAGCCACACACCTGATAAACTCATGAAAATGCTCTTGGCTCATTGAATAAATACGTTATTTTGAAAATAAATGTTGATTTAAGTATAATTGAGAGAAATGTACACAAAATATTATTTTTATAAATACTTATGGTTTGATTAAAACTCATTTTTTCAGTTATTGCACTTGCCTAAGTCTGTATATACGAAACGTTAATACAATTAATTTTTCATGACTAAACATTTCAAACGGCTGTTATATGCTAATTTTTCAAACGGCAGTTTTTTATTGCGCAACAGGAAAAAAATAAGATAAGTATCATAATTACGCATTGATGAGTATAGTGAACATTTACAATTTATTTACAATTGATAATGCTCATTTATAAGTTAACCACGATTATTTTTACTTGTAGTTTTTTTGAAACTCAAAATTCCCGCTCAAAGATAGGCGCACGCATATACGTCTCTCGTCGCTCCTCCCACTCCCATTGACGGACTATAGGGGATAGAATTGTGTAGTAGCCACGATCTCGCGGTGCATACCGTCGTCGCAGTGGCAGTCGCTCGCAGTCTTTGGCCGCGCATGAGAAAAACAGTGGTGACTCCTGTGAGACAGTCGCGTAAACAATATATATATATATTTCTCTGTTCTGTGCGTGTATATGTATATATATTATACATATACATATAGTCGCGTGTTATTGTTATTTTCAACGCAGCGCGCCGCCGCTGTTATTCGTGACGTATCTATCTCGTGTGTGCTTTTATACCGAGAGAAAGATGAGCCTCCTTGGTTGCGAATTCTAACCTCCCTGTGCGACGCTGTTTATTCCGTTCGTTCGGTGTGCTTCCTCGCGAGTATGTGTGATTAAAATATAGCAAGAGAGAAGAAATATTTGAGTGTGCAGTGTTGTGTCGCGCGATTTTAACAAGAAAGAGAGAGAGAGAGAGATGTCGTGGAGTAATTTACAGTAGCGTAAGCTACGCCATCCAGACTGCTGCGCGGCAGCAACAGGGGGAGCGAAAAAGACACAAAAAAAGACAACAAAACAGGAGAAAAAAATTCAAAAGGAGGGGGCAGAGAGGACCCGCGCCGCCCGCCTAACAGCGAGAGCGAGTGAGAGAGAGACAAGATGGCGGAGTCGAGCTATTATCAGGTGAGTCCGGAACTCTCTTTTTCTCTTTCTGTCTGGTCTGTCTTTCATACCGTCGAGGCTTTTTCTTCTTGCCACTTCTTGCTTGCTTACACTATCGGACGACGTTGACGGATCGAGGTTTCTTGTTGTTTGTTTACGTCGGGGAGAGCTAAACTTGCGCAATTCTCGCGCAATCTTCTCGCACGAGTTTGTGGATGTCTTGCAGGTGGGAATTTCATTGCTCTAGAGAATTTGTCTTTCAAGGAGACCTATGGTCGTGGATATATAGATAATGCAGTCCGGTTGCCGTGCACACTTGTTGCGCCAAAATAATTGCGGGCAAGTTGGACGAGTGTGCGTGTGTTGCCGAGGCTGCAACAAATTCGGCGGGAGAAATACTTTTCGTCGTTTTCGCTTACTCTCGGCCATAAATTCGTTGGTTTACGAATCGTTTTGAAAATATTGACATGTTGAATTAACGGAATTCAGTCGTTAATTACGACTTGTTACAAAATTCGACTTTTTCGGAGTAATAATCGTTCGAATGTCCATTCACAATAATGTAAGGCTAATGGACATATATAGATGTTTAAAGGCAAAAGCGGAGCTTTAATTATGTTTCCAATACTCTATCTTAAATTCGTCGAAGGGTCATTAAAGCTAATAATGTTCGATTCATTCGCGATGTACAAAGTTGGTTTGATTTTTCACGTTTTGTCGAAACTGGTGACAATGTTTGTTATTTACTATATTAATTTTAGATGATGATTAAGAGAGTTTTTTTAAATGAGAGTTGATTTTAACTTTATAAATAGGCACAGATGAGTCGAGAAATTGATCGTTATTGAAATACGTAGTAAAGCAATGTAAAAATTCTATTTACAGCGCATTTAAAAATAATAGTCGAGTTGCATACTCAAATTCGAAGCTGTATATTTTATACGACGAGGATGCGCTCTGATGAGAAACAGCCAAGCAATCAATGGATTTCGATGTATGCGTTCGTCAGTAATGGAAAATAGATTTACGCGGTGACTAATATCGATTGTTTCTCATCGTTTAAAAATATAAATCAGAGATTCACGGAACATCAGCCTAAAGTATACAATATCGAAAAATTCTCTGTACTGAGGCCGACTCCGACCTGGTGACAACATGCAAACAAAGCAGCATTTATTCGCTTAATACTAGATCTCGAGACAGAAGGGTATTTGGCGAACGCGCCGGCGGAATTTAGGTTAGGAGGCCTTTTCGCTCCGCGGGAGTTACATAGGAAGACCTGCACTCGTAATTATTTATTTTTTTGTTCGTTCACCTCTTGCTGGATGACGATTGTATCAAGCTTTTTTACAAAAAAACATAAAGGAGTGAAACGCGAGATTTCGTCGCGACTGTTTTTTGTCTCTCCGGTCATATAAATAGCAATACTGGCGACGAATGAAATAAAAATGATATTTTCTGAGAGAGAAATCGACCTAATTTCGGGTAAAATGGCGTCGACTAATAACGCAACTAACGTGCTGTATATATCAAGAGAAAGAGATCTCTCATGCGAATGTAAACTCGCCGCCGTCGCTGCGATCACTTATCGTTATTATATATTGATTGACAGTTGCTCGAAGCTTTTCATTGTCTCTCTCTCTCTCTCTCTCTCTCTCTCTCTCTCTCTCTCTCTCTCTCTCTCTCTCTCTCTCTCTCTCTCTCTCTCTCTCTCTCTCTCTCTCTCTCTCTCTCTCTCTCTCTCTCGCGCGCTCTCTCATGTGTCAATGGGAAAATATATCGCGCGGAGTGAAAAAGTAGCCCACTAGAATGAAAAAACTAGCCTTGCTGTACACGTATATATAACTGATGTCCTCTATAAAAGCAGCTGATTACGTACATACAGGTATCGAAAGCGAAAGTAGACGAATTGCGCGTGAAGAAAAAAGAGCGGAAAGGAAGGCTTTTTTCTTTCGATCTCGAAATCAACGGAGCAGTCGTCGCGAAGTGTGTCCAATTATAGCGAAAGCCATTTTCGGTCTATAACGCTCGCCTACGCTACTATTTAGGGAGCTGTTTCTGCGTGTGAGTGTCAGGTGCGTGCAGGTGCTTGCTAACAACGAGCTGTGTCTGTGGTAATCGTTTTCGTAATTTTTTGCCGTTTTCCTTACGTCGAATACAGCCAACGCGATCGCTATCGCGATTATTGACATTACTTCTTTTTCCTTCCCATTAGCCATGCGAAGTTTCTTCCATTGAAATTTAATATCGCGCCAGAATATCAGACGTGGGTATAAAGTGTCGCTTTGAAATTTACACGCGTGCGGCGTGCAAGACGTTCGGGTGTCGCGCGACAGTTCGCGATCGAGGCAACCTACTGCAGTGGGAAAGCACGGCGGTCAAGCTTTTTCTCTTGATCGAGGGCTAGAGGGGAGGAGGCGGTCACGCGAACGAGCGGTGGTATCGGGAGACAATCGCACAGACGTTTCCAGCATCCGACGACGATTTGAGAAACGTGATCTCCAGTTTCGCGCGCGAAAATCACGCTATCGTTCCGACGTTGTCGATCTCGTCGCGGCGCGGCACTGCCGGCATAAATCTTATTTTTACATCACGCGCGCACGCTCTCTGGGAGGGTTTGGGCGCTTTTGTTTGGCAATGAAAATCCGGCGCTTTTTTAGTGCCACGCGTTATTTTTTTTTCTTCTTCCCGTTGCGTGAGCACCAAAAGGAAGAAAACGAAAAAAAAGAGCTGCCAGTGAGAGAGAAAGGTAGGTTTCGAAAAGCAAACGAAAATTGCCGAGCGAGCTCTAGAAAGAAAAGTTTTCGAGGTCCGAGGAAGGAAACGATGATCCTTCACTTTCTTTCTTGCGTGCGGCCACACCGTTATGAATGTGAACAGCTGCCTCTCTTTTTTTTGGGTAGGCTCCGTGAGAGTTAGCTAGTTGCGTTCTATGATTGAAAAATTCATCGACTGGCTTAGCTTCGGTCGAAACGAGTCCATGAAAATGTTCTTTCTCGACAAAAGAGATCAACACAAGTGACTCGTTGACTCTCGCCTCACAGCGTCGGCACAAGGCGTACACATATATATTCCTAGATAAGACTTGGGCTATGTACGGCCACATTTGAATTTGAATCGCCGTGTTATCTTTGGACAGCTGCAGACACACACGCCCTACTTTTCGATTCAATTGATGCCTGCTTCGCCTCTCCTTGGCGTTGACGAGTACGCTAATAAGAGCAAAGCTTGACAAATAAGTCGTGCGACGATAAATCTTCGCGTGAAAGAGTAGAGAAATCAAGGTCAGTCGTGTGTGTCGACGATGGATAAATAATTATTCGTCCGCCCCGGAAATATTATCTGTGCAGGTTGGCAGTGTGCTTCTAACGAGGTGAAATGCATGCATAGCTGCGCGCACATGGTGCAGGAAGTCGATCGACGGTGGCTGGGTTCTCTTTTTCGGTAATATGTCATGTGTTACCGAGCCGTCAACGGATAAACGAAAGCGTTTTGTTAGGCTGAAAAGTTACACAAACGTGTCATGACATTCGATTATAACTATGATTATGCAATTTTTATATATCATTACTCATAGATAACATTCCTCATCTTCGCGAAATTTCACGTTATTTTTGTATGTTCGCCAAACTTCTATTTATTTTCAAACAATTTTTTGCATTTAGATCACTCTGAAAGATTGTGTCAAGGATAAAGTCAATTAATTATTAGAAACGATTTCATTTGATTTGATAGCAGCATAAAACGAAAGCTCACGTGAGGCATCGAACGTTTATTTTTGAAATGAACCATTGAATAAGCCGCACTATCTTCACTTGTTCGCGCGCCAAAATTGTTCCGTTTCGTTCAATCTCCACATCTATGTCTTTCAAAAATAAATCTGCAAAAACTTTTAATACAGGATTTCGAAACTCCGTGGATTTCTCACTCAACAAACAAAGCCATCACCTAGACTATCAAACGATTTTGTTTTCTCTCCCTCTTACTCAACGAATAGATTGCTCACGCGCTACTCTCTTTCTGGCATTGCTGTCTCTCTCTCTCTCTCTCTCTCTCTCTCTTGCTCGCACATACCTTGCCGTTATTTTTCGCAGCCGCGTGTGCACCGACTGTTGACCCCATCGCTCGTTCTCTCGTTCGGTGCAGATGTTACGGTATGCATGAGAATAGCTCACGCGCGCGTAGGCGGAAAGAAAAGAGAGAATGAGAGAGAGCCGCGTATGATAACACAGCTCTTCTGTCGCGTGTTTTTGTTTGCTTCGTTGTCGAAATCGTATAACGATCGCTGGCGCGTTTCTTTCAGCTAGCAGCGTCGTTTGGAGGTGACCGAATGCTAATGATAGCGCGATGGCGTTTTACACAAAGTTGCTCTGATTCATGAATGACATCGGAGCGCCGCGTGCGTGTATTGCACGAAAATTATTTGGTCAAATTCGTCTCCTATCTCACCTCCATCGATGGTCCGTGTAGAGCAAAGACACGCACGCGCGCACACCAAATGTCAAACCTTTCCGAAAAGAATATCTAATCTTATCAGATATTTATCGCGATTATATTATTTACAATCGCTCGTGCTTATATTTTCACTCTGAAACGCTCGTGTATTAAATATACAATCGAGAGACAAAAGCGAGAGGGGGGGGGGGGGGTGCGCGCGAAGTAGAAATCCATGTTTATCGTCAAAAAGTGTATGTCGGCGATAAGGACGATAACGGATCTCGCGCCGACTAAACTTTTCATCAGTCGCTAAGGTACCTCATTACCGTGAACATCTTCTCACCGGTCAATGTGTGTGTGTGTGCGCGCGCGCGCGTGCGTCTTTGGTAAAGTGTTTTTTTCTCGTTTGGTGCGTGATGAATGATGTCATCGTTGTCGTTGAATAGACGAAAGCCCAGGAGACCGAAAGCGGAATACCAGTTGTTTTGGCAATGCGTTAGGCCTTGTCTGGCGGTACGAAAACGTAAATTGACCGAAGCCGCTCGTGTCTCCAAATCAATCATTCGTTTCGCGCGCAACTTCGATAACGAAGCGACAGGCAAAACTCCAAAATTAACATGTAATCTAGCGAGAGAGAGAGTTGGCACAATGCCCTTGTGATATTCCATAACAGGCGGCCTTGACAAGACTTGGTGGCTGTGTGACAAAAGCGCGCTGCTGATAAAAGATACACACGCGTACTCTCACCGCCGACGTCTATTATTGCAACGTAAACGCACGTACATGTTGTGCAATGAGATTGCGATAATGAGAAGCGCCAATTGATAACTGTTTAGTTGTATATATTTCTTGCGTTTCTCGCGCTCGCTTATTAAAATGGTATTAAGTGAATTAGACGCGATTGTGCAAGGTATTTTTGGTTCGTTCGTAACGTGCGATCTCGACCACTGAGCAATGTACCAGTCGTGTGATTGTCGTAAGAAAGAAAGTAGGTAGCGTGCATAGTCGAGAGTGTACATAGTCGATTTTACATAATTTTTATGGATTGTTCGACTGTGAGAACGAATTTTGAGATAGTGTCAGTCGCATCTAAGTTGTCAAACGAACGAGAGTGAAAATCGGGCAAGTTGTCCAGCGAGCTTTCAAGCCCATGCGTACTCAACGTCATATGTGTGTATGTCCACAGGGCGATTACGTAAGGCACCCGGTCTTGTACGAGTTGTCGATCAAGTATGGAGTGGCTGGCAGTGATCAGGTGCCCTTGCCTGCCAGACTCGACGAGCTACGTGAGCACATACGACGAGAAATACGCAAGGTATTATTCTTTCTATTATCATTAGAAAAAAAAAGACAAACCCCTCTCACTTTTTCTCTTCGTGTGACGCAATGAGAATGGCGTTGAATCATGCGTATTCGAGCGATAGATGATTCACGACGATTTTGATCGTAAATAACTTTGGCATTATTTTTACAATATATTTTCGAGGGAGGTGCGCCAAAAAGCTTGAGATATACGTACCATCTGTATATGTACTAATTTTCTATGAGGATGACGTTTTAATGCAAGGTTGATATTCTTCTCCGCGCGTGCGGATTACTTTGATAGTTTTTCTCTTTTTTTTCTTTTTCTTTCATTTCCAATCGCGTTTCATTAAAAAGTAGTTTTGCAGATGTAAAATGAACGATGTGAAACGAATTCACTGTTGTACTGAATAATAACTCGCTCTCTCACGATGTGAGGTAACGACGAGTTCTTAAAAAACTTTAACCTCTGCATGAAATTGCGAGATGCAAACGTTTGAATGTCACTTGCAACATGTTTTCCAGGAGCTCAAAATCAAAGCGGGCGCAGAGAAATTGCGCGAAGTGGCTACAGATCGCAAAGCACTGTCGGATGTAGCGATGATCGTGAAGAAAGCCAACAGCAAGCTAAACGAATTGCAAGCTGAATTACAACAGCTCGAGAGCCAAATTATCCTTACTCAAGGACAGCCGCAGTCGCCGCAACAGAATCACTCGAACGGACAAGGTATTTGAAAAAATATGCGTTAGATAAAAAAGAAATGGCAATGCATTAATATATCGAATATTAAGTCCAATCGAGAGCAATTATGCAGCGGCAGTCATCGCGTGCATTTACATTGGCTAAATGCAATTGACGCTGCAGTCGCATTGCTGCTGTGCCCTCCCTCATTGCCACTTCCACTTTAAGCCTATTAGTTTTCAATTAGTTTCCCCCGTCCCTTCTTCGTTTTATTAACATCTCGAGTCGCGCGATTAATCCGCCTCGAGTGATCGGCGCCTTGGCCGCTTGTGCCATCGTGCAGGCGAAAGCCGCGCACAGCGCGCTCGCGCGGTTTTGGATAAAGGCGAGCGACCGGAACGATCGCCACGGGCGAGCTTGCAGCTGTCCTCGGAGCTTTGTTTTTCCGCGTCAATTGGATTTGCAGCAATTAGTGTCCCTGTAACGAGCAACCGCATATAATAGGCTCGCGTTATCAACGTGATTGACGATGCGCGCACGCATATAGGCCATCGGATTTTCTTGTTCCCCTCGTTTATTTGCCAGAGTTCAACAAGCGATGAACTCTCGGATTTATAAAGCGATAAACTTTGCAATGCCATATCATCGGACTTTCTAAAAGGCGACGCAGTGTCAGCAAGACGAGCTGCTATTCTAGATTCTGCGATGATGAACGGAAGAAAGAGAAAGAACAAGGAGTTTTCTCACGTGCAGTTTCGCGGCGAGGAAAGTATAAATTAACGTCGATTAGCGTACGTACAAAAGGGTTGCGCGTGAGAGTGCTTCATTTCTTCGTTCTTCTTCGGGTCACTGGCACTTGTGCGACTTCTTACTTCTGTGCCGAGCGGAATGATCGATGATACTTATGGAAATTAGCCCACAAATAGTCTTCTCGCGTGTGCTGGATTGTTTAAATATAGATACTACTTATCTCTTTAGTTGATGATTTACGACTGCGGTTTTGTCGAGGATAATGTTTAGGTGGCATGATTTTTCTTGATTTATCGCGGTGATTTTATGCATTGAGCTTGGAAATACAAGTGACGTACCTAACTGTTGATAAGCGCGACAGGTTAATCCTTGTCCTGGGGTTCGATTTGAGCAAACGTTTGAAAAAATACATATAAATTTGCATTGTGAATATTTGTAGGTAGGGACATCGTACATAGTTTGACGCGTTCATACTCGGAAAACCGGTAGTAGACGTTCATTCAGCTCATTGCCAAAATTTCATTGCAATGCCAAAATAATGAAGAAAAAATATGTTGTCTGACGACAAACGAGCGCAAGGAAACTTTTTTTTCGCATTTTGCTGCTGTTCTTTAACGATTGAGGATAATGGGCGACGCTGCTTGAGAAACAGCAAGAAAACGACATGGAGATTAGGGCTACACACGTTGTAATTCAGTTTAATACAAAGATTACACGATCAACCTTTGACATAGTTAGAGTAGTTTCTCTTGCTCGCTTTATTAGAATAATATCTCTATTACTATGGGTAATTTTATAAAATGAAATTTACTTTGTACATGCGAGCGTGGATAATGGCATTTTTTTTCACAAAAAGTTTTTAGTGTAATAATCAGTGTTTCGTCAGATGGCATTCGCCTATTTTGTTATTCAGAAAAGAGATAATCGTTGACGACGTATAATATGCTTACAAATTGCAAGCTGTTGTAATTCAGCTTGCAATTTGTAATTTTCAACATTGCGATAGACTCAGCCACCGTGATGTTGAAAATTTTATCTGCAACGAATGATTCCATTAAATAATGTATTTGCGCAACAAACAATTAAATTTGAGTGAAAATTTAAAAAATGAACTATAACACGGTGCAACCGAACGAAAATGCTTGTAAATAAGTGCACTTTGTTTATACTATATATTATACGCCACGTACGCTTCTAATATTCAACATTTTCCAATAGTCCGGTCAAAAGGTGAAAGTAAGCGTAGTCGGTTACTTCAAATATTAGTGAAATTTTACGTGAACGTGCAGTGTCCTCGTCGCTGCGTCAATTGAGTAACTCCCACGAGCTTGCTAATTCGAATTTGTCACAATAAATGTCTTTGACAAGTTCCCCTCCAAGAAACACGAGAGACAAAGTTTTAAGTTCACTTAATTTCTTAATATAACGTCGTTCTGTATAGATAACGCAAGTAATCGTCTTGACGCTCATGTTAAATTACTCCATAAATAACCTGTGCGCGCGCGACCTGTAAAACTGGGCAAAAAGAACTAAGGAAACGCCGAGGCTTATTACTTTCCATGTCGCTCTCTCGTTGAGTTTTTGAGATTACAGCTTCGTGAGCCGGCAGAGCTTCAGCTGGAAAAAAAAACCACGAACGATTTTTCAGATTATCGAAATCGCTTACTTAACGCGCGTAGTTCTACAATTTGTAAAATACCTGTGGTAACTTAATGATGGCGGATTGATCGGACGAAAAATTTCTGAAAAGTAGGGCGAGCGATCCGGAAGCCGACGCAGCAGACGCGAAACTTTACGGCATAAGCGAAAGAATCTGCGCGCCCGTAAAACGCAGTTTATTTATAAAATTCGAGTAAAGAAGTTTTTAGTAGCCATCGTGCCCGAGGACAAATAACCGAATGTTCGCGGGCGCGCACCCGACCACCCGTGAAAGTCGTTTGATTCGCCTTGCCCGATCGTGAAACAAGAACAAAAAAAAGAAATCAGAGGAATGTCAGAGAGAGAGAGAGAGAGACAGAGACAGAGACAGAGAGGAAAACGAGACGATGGAAAGCAATTGGCCGATTGTTCTTCTCGGCTCGTTCGTTAACTAGTTGAAATGGAGAAATATAGTTTCCGATTGGGTTGCGAACGCGCGAGAAAACAAACAAAGAGTAAAAGAGAAGCGTCTCATAAACAGCGCGTTGGAAATTGAACTCGACGCGTCTAGGATTCGCGAATATATTCACTGTCGAGTTTTATTGCGAACGCGAGGGCAAAAGGTTTATGTTGGCGCATAAAAGCCGCGGCAGCCGCTTCACTCTCTCTCTCTCTCTCTCTCTCTCTCTCTCTCTCTCTCTCTCTCTCTCTCTCTATCTATCTTTCGCTGAAAGAATATATAACTGCGCGTGTCTTTATTACGGTGTACGCGCGTTTCGTTCTCTTGTACATACTTTTCTCATTTATTTCGAATTACGTAAGCCTTTGCGGAATGTCTGAACGACAGAATTTACACGCTTTGGATGAGCGTCGTCGCAACGTTAAAGCTCACCAAATGGATATATATGACGGAAGAAAGTTTTTAATTTTTTTTTGAGATAATAGTTGCCTATAAAAAGTAGAAGTTTTTGTAGAAACAACAAAAATCGTCATCAGCTCGGAGATGGTTTCCGTGCTTTCGTGCGCGGGTTTTACCAGAAGCTTAGATATCGTATTACCTACCTGAACTTGAATAATCCACACTGAAAAGTCGTCGCCGGCAGAGCGTCTACAGCGGCTTTTGAAACTTTTATTGTTATGAGCTGCGAAATGCGAATGAAAATTAATTTGAGAATTTTTACCGGCTACTGTCTAATAATTATAGCTTAACTTGTTATTGAAGCGGCGATTCATTAGAAAGTAAATCTTACAATTTACATTCTACAACAACTTTTCTTTCAGTCTCACGGTTTTTTCATCGCGAAATTCCAAAGAAGAAATTTATTTTTCGCCCGTAACGTAGGATAATTATTAAAAGCGCGTAGTTACTCGATCGGAACCTGACGAATGCTCGCAGTTTCTTAACCCCTAACGCTGTTAATTTTTTTCTTCGCTCCAGCGTGACGAACTTTCTTTTTAAGACTAATTAGACAGCCAATTATTTATTGCGCTTCGCTGCGCGACTTCGTCTATATATATGCATCTCGACGTCAAATTGAATTATCGTACGACTAATTACGAATGGCTTGTTTATTATTTTTAATTTTTTTAAATTTTTGTCATCGAGCAAAAAAGGAAACAGGCATTGGCAAATGAACAATTTTCAATTCGAACCGAGCAATTATCTGGTTAGAACGACTTAACGGTTGGCTCGTTGTGCACAGCTAATTTCGTTTTTTCTTCCCGTACAGCGACGCCACCAACCGCAGAACTTACTTCTAATGGCTCATGAAAGAAAAAAAGCGCTATCTTTCTCCTCTTACTTTTGTTCGCACTGTAACTGTTAATAAATGAATTTTTTTCACCTTAAGAAAAGATTCTTACGCGCGGTTTACATTCATGAGGTAGCGGTAGTTTTGCCGATAAACGCGTGCTCGCAGACTCAGATAAATTTCTAATCAAACCGATAAGTAGCAAATTTTCGAATTACCAAAAGGAGCGAATGAAAAACTCACCCGGAATAGCCAAATGATGGCTTGGCGATACACGCAATTGCCGATCAGTCGAAGTTACCAAATCCCAGCTGCTACCGTAATTGTCGTAAAGCTAAATCTAGCGAGGGAAACAAAAAACCGCTCTTGCCGTAATCGATGTTTCATCACACACAACGACATCCATCGCTTATGTAGTATCTTTCTGCGCCAAAAGAACTTGAGCATACCTACACGAGAAAGTGTAGCAGCAACAACGCTCGATGGTGGTGGTGGTGGTGGTGGTGGTGGTGGTGCAGCGGCGGCGGTCGTCAGCCCGGAAGTTGATGTCGCGCGGGCCTTATTGAGCGCAACCAGGCTGGTATTACGTGCATCCGGAGGGGCTCGACTTGTGCACGTGCACTCTCTCTCTCTCTCTCTCTTTCTCTCGAAAAAAAGGAAGCAACACTGCCGTATCTACATATTTACATGATACAGTACTCAACCACTCTTGATTGAAACGCGCCAAGAGTATGTCTGTGCGTTGTTTAACCTACGAAGACGTTTAGGTTGGGTGGGCGAATTATTTTAAAGTATTTTAATTATACAGGATGCTTTTGGAACTACTTGTGTTAAAAGCCCTTATTGTGAGACGGTTACTTCACAGTGGCGTGGAATTTAAGAATATCTATGGAGTTTCGTATAACA